ACACACACACACACATATATATATATATATATATATCATATATCACATATATAATACTTCCTAAAAATTATATATGTAAATATATATATACACACACATACATGTTAAATTTGATATATTGCACATAGGTGTATCTTTATATACATGCATATGTGTGTATATGTATGTGTGTGTGTGTGTACAGGAAACATACATATCACACTTCAATTTGTTTGAGTCAAGTAGACTATTAGAGTATCTTCTATTATTATAAAAGTTCTAATATAAAATTTTAGCAGCTAACTGAATAACTCATCACTCCCCTTTTTCTCTATACATTTTCCCCCTCTGGGAAATAGGGAGGGAGCATTTAGGTAGTGCTTCTGGCTCTGGATCTATTCCAGAAATCTGAAAAAAGAATAAAAATAATAGTGCCCATGTCACCACCACAATCGCAGAAGTAAAAGTGAGAACCACCATTTGAGATTTCAGCATGTACTGCAGATTGGTTGGAGTGATTTAAACAGATAATCTCAATTAAATCTCCCCTACTGTGGGAGTAGATATCATCCCCATATCTGAGATGAGGAAAGAGATGTGAGGAAGTGAAGTCCCAAACTAAAGTCCCACCACAGCAAAGGCAGGATGATCGGACTGACTCCAAAACCCACGATGCAAGATTTTATGAGATGCAGTTCTTCTAGGTCTGATGGACAGAAAGGTGCTCGTCATAAATTGTCTTTCAATTAACTAGCATAACACTTAAAGGAAGCATACACATCACATGGAGTCGTCTCAGCTACTAGGATATTTATTTTATTATTATGAACTGCTAATATCATTAAGTTTTAGCAGCTAATTCTCAATAAATAATCCTCATATCTTACATTTTAAAGGTTGAAGATCTTAGAGAAAAAGTTAGGCAACAAAGGTCAACAGACTCCCAAAGCAGGCACACAAAATCACTGAAAAATGATGATGCAATTTTCACATTGCATTTAGTATTTAGGAAACACGTTAATCAGAATGATGGGGACCAGCAGTTAGTGTCATGGCTATGTCGCTGAACTCCCACGTAGCTGACCACAGTTTGATTCCTGGACTTGGTGGCTTAAACTCACATCAGGCGTGTGTGCGTGCATGTCCAGGATCCCAAGAGGAGAATGGAGGAGAAGGGATTGCAGTATGGCCATCCCCTCTTGGAGGGTGATTTCTCACTTTCTATCTCTCTGTTTCTCTCTGTCTTTCTGGCAAGTGCACAGTCCTATAGCAAAAAAAAAAAAACCTCTCCAAAAGGAAAAGAATTATGCACCCAAATCAGGCCATATGCATCCTAAAGCAGACCATACACCACTGGTCATCATCATATTGGCACATTTCAAGTTAAGAGCATATTACCATTCAGCTTGATATGTAGAAGTCACATCACTCCAATAATCTAAAATTGAGTGAAATACTATTATATAAATGCTCATATAACCCAATACCTCAGTCATGGGAAATGCATTTAAAATCCCACCAGAAAGGACATTCAACTATGGGATGCATAAAAACACTCAAAAAGCTTTAATGCAATACCCAGTAAGACCAGATGCAACACAACCAAATGGGTAGAAAAGCAGTGTCTTATTTGGTGCCACATATCCTTATTTTTAAAAAACAAACAAACAAACAAAAACAATAACAACAATAAAAAGCTTCCTTCCCCCTGCAAATTAACTTTTCTCGTCCTTCATTTCCACTCTTCTATCTCTAGCACTACGCTATCCTCTGATAGCTGGTCAGTCTTCTCACGAATTATTTCTGCTACATGAGCTCTGGATCTGGGAGAAGAGTAAGATAAAGGCAATGCCCAAGTGAAGAAGTTTTGAAATGATCTGAGGTCCAGGACCAGTTTTTTTCCCCTTTTTTTGGACAACCAGTTGAGAAAAATGCAATAGTAACGTATTCCTAAAGGAACGAGGAAAAAAAAAGATATAGGGAGTATAAATCCCATTTTAAAAAATGATTATTTGATTTAGCAAACAGAAAAATTACTACTGACAAACTAGGAAACTCTAATTCTCAGTTTCTGTAGTTAGCTTGTGAGGGAGACTGGTAACCAACTCTACGCTGCGAATGGGCTCAGGCCCAGGGACCACACAGCAGGCTGTTCTACCCTAGGAAGGACACTTAATCAGCCTCCTTCCCACCTCCAGGCTGTGCTCTTCCTCAAGGAAATGAGATGCCTGGTGGACAGTGGGACCCATCATGGCACTCTTATTTCTCTCATTGCTCCTGGAGGAATCTGGAACTACATAATTTGTTTGGTTGACCAGAATAAAAGCTATATGGGCAAAGAGATCTTGTCTGCCTTATGATCCCTTGCATCACTAGAACCCAGCACTGTGGGTTTCATTAATGACATCTCTCCATCACTTTTTGTTCATTTTATACCTTTACTTGACTGATACGAAGCATGTGTAGAAGTGATTCTTTCCCAGGGCAGCTTAGAAGTTTTAGAATTAGGCACATAAGCAACATATTCCTAATGATAAATGCTATCTAAGACAGTTTTTATTTTGTAATCACTAAATATATATCAAAACTGTAATTTAGGCCCATTACACTATATCTGTGTTTGAATCACAGGTGATTTGGTTATCCATATAGAAAAGATGAATGGAACTTGTCCTATAAAATTCTAGTTTTCTGTACAAGAAAAATAATCTTTAAAATGATAAGCTGGATGTGTATGTAACAAAAGAAGAGGTTAAGAACCTTAATATAAGAAATAGGAAGATGAAGATGAACACCATCACTGAAGAGAGAAAAAAAAAAACTCATCTATTTTTTAAAAATGCAGATGGAAACAAGAAATTCTTGTCCCTACCAAAATGATAATCTTTTCAAAGACATTATCTGGTGTGTGCACTCTAATATATGTAAATATATATACGAAATGCTTAAAAGAGTTTAAACAGTTTACCTTGAAATTCCACACTTAAACTTATCCAATGGAAACAATGAGAGATGTCGATAAGATATAAATAGCACTGTTAAAGATGTCTAATAATAAAGGGTTAGTTAAAAAGATATACCTATGTACACCATGCAGCCATTGAATTGATGCTGTAGAACAGAACCTGCTGATGTGAGGAGGTGCTTACAAAATATGTGAAATTGGTAGGGTACTAGGCCCTATTTTATAACATGGTCCTATAGTGTATATCTAGACAAATATTCAAATGGTAGTAAATGTATAGGATATATTATGCAATTATTTTGTTTCTCTGTATTTTCTAAGTTATCAGGATAGAGAAATATTATTAACGTGACAAAGAATAAAAGATACAAATGAAATTTAAAGAGCCCCTTCAATCAAAAAGTGGTATTCGAGGGCACAGTCTCAGTGGTACAAGTGGTGGCGTGCAGCTCTGCGATGCCGGAAGCCATGTGGAAGGCTGGGATTTGGATCCTAGGTTGACCTGAGTAGACTAGGAATGTGCATGCATGCTCCCACCATCCTGGTTGGCTGGAAGGCTGGTGTGTGGGAATCAGTGATGAGACCCTGTCAAGAGTTTCCATCTGTGGGAACCAGCAGTTAGCGTAAAGGCTATGTCGCTGGACTCCCACATAGTTGACCGCGGTTCGCGTCCCAGACCCTGTGGCTTAAAACTCATGCCGGGCGCGTGTGCGTGCGTGCCCAAGATCCCGAGAGGAGAATGGAGGAGAAGGAATTGCGCTGTGGCCATCCCGATTTCTCGCTTTCTGTCTCTATGTTTCTCTCTGTCTGTCTGGCGAGCACACGTGCCCTATAGTGAAAAGAAAAAAAAAAAGTTTCCACCTGTGTCTCTGTCTCTCTCACCCTCTGTCTTTCTCTCATGAAAGAAATAAATAAAATTTTTAAAATGTGGTAATTTAACTACAACATTGTATGATAAGAGGACAAATATGATTTGTTAAACTTGTTAGTAATAAATACAAAATATTACAGGAATGCTTAAGTTTTTTGAGAACTATTCCCAAGCACTTTACAGATATATTTGCTGGTAACAATCTGTTAATAACAAGTAGTCTCTATGTAGTTTTCAAAACAGCTTTGACAACATAAAATTTCAGTTGTCCTTTAATGTAACTTGAACTTACATTATATTTTGTCCAGAGTTTCCAAAACAGAACTCGGGGATGGTTCTTGAAAGCATTATCTTGAAGATTCACTGGGGGGGGGGTTGTAAATTTGACCTACTGACCTTTGGTAGATTCTTTAGTCAATATGCATTACATACCCTATTTCTAGAGCTGAGTGTGGGTTGTCACCCCCCAACCCGCACACCATAATAAAAAAAAGAAGAAAACAGCCCTTTTAAAAAACTTGGATGGTGGACCAGCACTGGCGTAATGACTATGTTGCTGGACTCCCATGCAGTCGATCGCAGTTTGAGTCTCAGACCCGGTGGCTTAAACTCATGCTGGCACATGTGCGTGCGTGCCCAAGATCCTGAGAGGAGAATGGAGGATGGATTGTGGCATGGCCATCCCCCAAGGGGGGTGATTTCTCGTTTTCTGTCTTTCTGTGTCTCTCCCTCTTTCTGGCGAGTGCACACGCCCTAGAGCAAAAACCTCTCAAAAAAGAAAGACAAAATAAAACAAAACAAAACAAAACAAACTTGGGTGGTAACACTAACTGCTGGGGTTTTTAGTACATACCACTCCACAACCTCTTACATGGTTGACTTGCGACCTTTTCATTCTTTTTTTAATTGGTAGAAGACACAAAAGCAGAAAACTTCTTCACAAGAAATTTTAGTTTTTTAAAAAGAACCTTATAGATCATTCAGTCTAACCCCTGATGGAAATATGCAATTTGAGTCCCAGAGAGTAGGTGGGGGAAGAGCCAAAACAGAAGCAGGTATCCTGCCTCTTAAGCCCAGGCAATCTGCCCTTATCATCCGCTGCTTACAGAGCCTCCGATTGCGCTTTAGAAATGAAGGGCCAGCCCACAGGTTAAGGAATCCTGCAGCGTCAGCATGTATACAGACCTTGCATCTGGTAGCTGTATGGCGCCTGTCCAGGTTGAGGGGTACCAAAGCTTGTTCCATAGCTGAGAAAGCCTGTCTGTCCAGGTGACTGAGACTGTGACAATCCACCTTCAGTCTTGATGCCTGCCCACAATGCACCTAAATCAGTTAGTGATAGCTTATCTATCTGTTCATTTTCAACAGCTGGTAAAAACACAAAAACAAACACTCCCCAATGTTTAGTAACAAGCTTCTGAATCTTATCTCAGTAATAAAGGGTATACGGGTTACAATGAAATACCATAAGGTACAACCATTTTTGTAAACCCAAGATTATTACAGATTTGGATGCCAATTCACACTGTTCTGTCTTTTCTTTGCATTCAGCCTTCCCGTGATACCATTTCTGTACTTCATTCTAAAGATCAGGCCGTTCATGGTCAAGAAATAGCTGTAATTAAACTTTAGCTAAACCATTCCAAAGTTGCTAGGTTGATTACACACAAGATCAAATTTATTTTTTCTTTTCTAAAAAGTGATTGATCAGAGGCTTTAGCCTCATGGTGTTTCTTCTTTTTTCCTTACTCTTTCTATGACAAAGCTCATTTTAGTGCACAACTCATTCTGAATTCGGTAGAAGCAATATGGGCACAGACCTAAATAACATGAGGGAAAAGCAATTTCTGAATAGCTATATCCTACTAGAAAACAAGAAAGGATGATTTTAAAAGTTGAATCCTACAGGGCCAGTAGGTGGCATGGTGGTCAAGGCACTGAACACGCCCCCATGGCAAACCATGGTTTAAGTCCCAGACCTGGTAGATTGCCTTCTCATTTTCCTTATCTCTCTTTGTGTGTCGACCTGGTAGATTGCCTTCTCATTTTCCTTATTTTTCTTTGTGTGTCTCTCTCTCCAGTCAAATTAAATGAATAAATAAAATTAAACAATTCTTTTAAAAAATAACTGAATCCTATAAAATAGTAGTTTCTTATTGTGTCAAATTAAATGAATGAATAAATAAAATTAAACAATTCTTTTAAAAAATAACTGAATCCTATAAAATAGCAGTTACTTATTTTAAGGTTGTCAGGAAGGTCATGATGCATCTTTGCACAGAAAAACAGAAAAATATGTTATGACTTCTGGACAACCTTATATAAACAAGTGAATTGGACCAGTTATTCCCTTTTTGTTCCTTTTAGTTTCAAATATTTAATTATAATTGTTATAAATGTAGGCTAAAGTACACTTTGTTTTTATCATAAAGTAATATGAAAATAACGTATGTGGGCCTCCAAATACTTCCAAAGTACCAGGCTGACACACTACTTTCAGGACGTTTGGCAGCACTGAGATACAGGGTTAAGCTCTGGATCATAATTAAAGACAGTCATGAAAGTTAACAACTGTCTTTCATTCCCACAGAGGGAGGAGAGGAACACTTCTGCCAAGGGAATTCACATTTTTGAATAATTTTGCTTTGCACTTAAGATAAATGATATCTTCAGAATCTAGAATACACAGTAGTCTTACTGTTCATTTCCATTTTAGGGGAATTTCATCAGTAGAATGAAGTTAGGTAATTGTCCTAAGGCTATGGAAGAATCTGACTCTTGGCTGAAAGAGCTCACTCTCATTCTTGGAGTATCTCAAAATAGCTTCATGATGACCTTAACATTTAAGTTTTAACACAACCTTAACATTTTTTAAAAATTAAATTTTCCTGGTACAGCAATCTGAAACCAATGAACAACTCACATACAAATGGTCCCCAGAAACACACCTGTCCCAGACAGGTGGCTTGAAGATTCTAGAAATGTCCATCCTTTCCATGATGTCACTACTAAGTAATTTCCCCTTTGCCCTCCATTTGAAGGTATACTGATCTTCTTCCACCCTGTACCTGCACCACCTCTGTTCTTAGCTTGAAGATTAAGGATGGGAATCTTTGTGATAAGAATGGGTAAAGAAAAACAGGAGGAGACAAAAAAAGAAAAACACCCATAGCCCCATCTTTCTCCATGACTTCAATCCACATCTCACTGGTAGACCCCAACTAGGTCCAGTGAAGAACAGAATGAATTATTCTTCCCAATTGACCTGTTATTTGCACTATGAAAAGATACACCTGTCTTCCCGTAGAGGGTCTAAGTGAAAGTCAGGGGCTTGGGTCCTTGAAGAAAGTCTTTTAAAACCATCTGGACCTTGACACTCAGCAGTAAAAACCCTGAACTATGTGTTCCTCCTTCATGAATAAGCACAGGTAAAGTAAACTGCCATATTTTTCAATGCAGTAGCCCAAGGAAAATAGAACCTCTGGGTCCTAGCATTCAGGGCATCTGCTTTGTATTAAAAGCCCCAAAAGAGGAGAAAGGGGGTGATCAGGAAAATGCTGAGGACTGAGAATTATTCCCAGACATTTTTGATTCCCTGTAGAATCACAGCACTTAACACAGAGCCTTATTCTCGCCACCTCCCCAAATATCCACCTACTGCATTCAAGTCCCCATCCTTACTCTGCAAGTTCTCATCCTATTTGCAGACCCTCTGCTCATCTCTCTCTCCTGGAACAGCTACTTCTGACAATAAGGACACTCATTAACGGCTCAGAACTGAAGGAACCTCTACCCCACAGCCCAGAAATTGGCAAAGGGAAGACGAAGGAAGAAAAGGGAAGATTTGTGATGCAGCTAAGGCAGTGACAGAAATAGCACCTTCTCAGAGCAACTCTGGGAGGCACTTTAGCTTTGTGTGTGCTGGAAAAATATATTTACTCTTCCAATCATCATCCTACAAATACATTTTCAGAATACTAATTGGAGATTGCCTTGACTCAGATTGAAATTGCACAATTCAAACCATCAATCCATCCCACTGTTAGTTCGGCAATAGTTTGAAAATAAATTACAGATAAATTTGATCTATATCTGAAATCATTATTTTAAATCTATATTTTAAAACATTATTCAAAACTTTGAATAAAAGTTACAGAAATGAGGGACCAGCAGATGGCATAATGGTTACATCACTGGGCTCCCACATAGTCGACCATGGTTGGAGTTCTGGACCAGGTGACTTAAAACTCACGCTGGGCGTGTGTGTGTGCATGAGTGCCCAAGATCCCGAGGGGGAGACTGGATGACAAGGGATTGTGGCATGGCCATCTCCCCTGGGGGTAATTTCTTGTTTTCTCTCTCTCTCTCTGTCTGTCTCTCTGGCAAGTGAATGTGCCAGAGGAAAAAAAAAAATCTCAAAAAAAAAAGTTACAGAAATGAAAAAAGTTCACAGTAAGGCTGTTTCTAAAGTCTGCTTTATAAGACCTCACTAGATAACATTCTGTCCCAATAATTGGGAAATAAAATATAAAGGCCAAAGTCTTAATATAATCTAAATGTTTATTTATATATAGACTATAAAAATTCATATAGGCTGACTTTTGTTTGAGGTAAAGATAGAGAACTAAGAGGAATTGCCTTTTAGTTATTGATAAAATGCTTAAAGGACATTGATTCTATCAATATATTGCCAAAAGGAGTATTATAAAACAATACCATCTGGAGCATAATTGCAATATTGATCACAAAAAATAAACTGTACAACCACAGAATTATTCATTCTACCAATCCTTTCCTCCCAACATCTATACATTTCATTATCATTAGTTTTTTTTTCTTAATAAAATGCCAATAATTCATATATTTCTATTCAGTTCCATTTATTTAAAGTTGTGACTGAAATTCAATGGAAAAAAAGGGTTTTTTTTGAAATTTTCAGACTTATGTTTATCAAACTCTGGGATTCTGCTGGATTTATTTTTAACTTACAGGTATTGACCCTTTAACAAGTGAGTTAAATTACACCAAGATAAAGATAATCTCCAGGTGGGGAGGAACAAATGGCATGTGAGCTTTTGTTGTTGTCATGTTTCCTGATTTGCCTCTTCAAAATACAGTCCAGGCAGTGATATACAGATCACTTTTCCTAATGGCTGATAATGCTGAAATTTGATAATCCTCCCACCTTCAAGTTTAGAGCAAGAGTTTGTTGAATTCCGCTTGTACTTCCCTAATCAGAGCTTGGCATCTGACAAATAGGAAATGGATCTTTACCCCAAAAGACTTCATTCACAGAAGTTTTATCTCAAATATGCACAAAAATACTTTGGATTCCAGAGCCGAGTGCTCAAATGGCAAATTCAGAGTTGAGATATAAATGGGGAAAAATGAGAGTGAAGGGCATATGAACCCCACAATCTATTCAACACCCCTAACCTCCAGATAAGGAGCCACCAGTTCTTACAATACTCATTAAAAATACTCCTATTCAGAGTTTAGACACAAAAGGTGACAATGCTTTCTAAAGTGGCCCAACACTGATGGTCTTCAAGGCCCACTCAAAGATACCCGCATGCTCCCTGGATAACACCCAGCTAGAACAGCAGAGTTACTCACCATATGAGGAAATTCCATAGGGCTGTCCTGGCTGGGGGTACGTGGCATATGCTGTAGCTTGTTGCATTCCTGTGGTAAACTGTGTTTGCCCATACGCAGCCATAGTTTGTGAGGAAGGGGTAGGGAGAATATGTGGGTATGGTCTGCTATTTGTCAGAAATGACAGAAAATAGAAAGCCCATGCATTAGATGGAAACATGCAAGGTAACCGATTAACAACCACATCACAAATTCCAGTTAAAGACTGTATCTTCATGTAAAACTTTCAAATATAATAGACAACACACTGAAATAGGTCAGTATCTCTATTTGGTAATGCTCAGAGTAAACCAGTATAAATCTATCTAAGTCTTTATGCAACCCACTTTCATTTCAATTAAGCTGTCACGTGGGTACAGACATGATTTGAAATAAGGTAAAAGTCTACTCAGAAACGTTACTTATTGTTTAAGAGAAAATACATCTTACTTGGAAGGATAAATTTGTGGTGGAGAGAACTGGTGAGTTGGTCTTGGACTGAAGCTACTGCTCCCAATTACTGAAAAAGAACAAAACAAAACAAATACACAATAATTCAAGCAAAAGATGTGGAAAGCATCGATACAGTTTGAACTATGGACTGGCCATATGAAACTTTGGATATTTGACCTTCATGAACTACAGAAATGGCAGTTTCATATGGTTCAATCTAACAGAGTTAAATTAGAAAAACGGATAGGAACTGAGTAAATGGCTCTAATTTTAAATGAACTTTTCTAAAAGACAGCATAATCGCCTTAAATACCTGTCAACAGGCAGTGATGGCTTTTACAGTGGCAATAATACTTCAAGAGTACTAGGAGTCCTGGCTACTGTTTAGAAGGGCACTGTGAAAGGGGAGGTATGACGTAGAATTGCTTGGTTGGGCGGGAACAAGAAAGGTCACCAGCCTAGTGTTTGTGCTCAACAGGAACACACAAACTCGAGACCGTATTACCCAGAAACGTGCTCTAATCTCTCAGGGAGTAGAAATAAGATAGAACCCCATTTGCTTGCGTTGATTTAAGCACAACATCTTTTACTAAAAATGCCTTCCTATAACCATCTTAAATTTCTCATAAATGCTAAGTCTGCCTTTTTTTTTTTTTTTTTTTTTTTGGTGCTGATCTGGGCATTCCTTTGCATTTTAGTTTTACGTACCAAACTTTAATATTCAAGTTAGAAGGCTTTTTTAGCTTTTTTCTTAAGAAGGTATTTAAGCATTCAAGCAGAACTTAATTTCTTTTTAACCACATTTATTTGATTCAATATGTTCCAGAAATGTGCTAAACTTCCATCAAATGGTCTTCTATTCCTATTCTGAAGCGGCAAAATCCATTTTAACTAATACAAGGCCTTAAAGCAATAGTTCTCAGGTTCTTTCATTGTAAACAGGGACAACCTATTACACATTTATATATGCTCATGTATGTGTGTATATATCTATATATATTAACTTTTATGTACATATGTACACATGTATAATTCTGTGTATATGTGTTTTCTCTCTCAAATTTTCTAATCTCTACCTGGCTAAAATATGCATTCTTTGGATTCAATGATTATAAGGTATAATATGCTCATTTTCTTCTCCACGAATACTCACTGTCTTTTAGAGACTCTACTTACTAAATGTATTTTATATTAAAATCCTTTCATGAGGTTTCAATCAAAGTGTTATACATTTTTCATGTTGAAACATTAGTATAGCTATATTTTTCAAATTTAATTTTCCATCCTGTGCTTGAGAGGACAGCAGTAGGATTGGACTAGAATCTCAAAATCCATGGACAATCCTTCCTTGCATTGACTAAAGCAAACCTAACACAGTGGCAACAGAGAGATCTGGATTTGAACTATTCTTGTAAGCTGCCAGACCTTGACCATCTTTTTCTATGCAAAACTATGCAATGACTTTTCTGACAACTCAATAGTTGTTAAAAAAAACTCAGTAGCAAAAAAATCCATGATGCCACCTAATTACAGAAGCCAGCAAAATCCCTTTTATTCTTTTCTAGCTTTATGCTTGTGTCTTTCCAACTATGGATCATAGCTCAGGAAAAGTAAATAAACTCAATGAGTCACAGCCAGTCATTTTGTTTACAAACCATAGAATGTAGGATATCGAGTCATTACACACAGGTATATGCACAGTAAGTGTGTGTGTACATAAAGAAAGAGATTTGTGAGGCTGCAGAGTATGGTAATAGTGGACAGATGTTTAGTTCTCTCTAATGGTTAGCCTCTGGACCAGAAACTTTTAGCTCTCTTTAATTCTTCAGCACCCAATAGGGCCTGGCACATGATAATTAATCAATAACTAGTAGTTACTTTAAAAGAATGTAAGATTTAGGTCATAAGCAATGTAAGTTTTTAAAATCACAATGACTAGAAGATTGGTCCAATTATTTTAAGTTATGTATAGTCACACATAATAAACCTGCTATAGCTCTTGGCAATATAAATTGGAATAAATAGTATTCCTTATGACATAAATGTGAGCACAAATTGACAATGCTGTTTTGCTGCTTTGCACCAATTGCTATGATTTGGTTGATGGTTTGCCCCTTCCTCCCCCAAAGATTCATGTTCTATAAGTTTGATCACTGATGTAATGGTGCTGAGCAGTAGTAAGATCGTCAAAAATGAGAGGTGGTTAGTTCTCTGGAGAGCAAGTCGTTATAAAAGAGCTGTCCACAGGCCTCTTTCTCTCTGCACACACCAACATCCTATTTCTGTCTCCATGTTGTGATATAGCACCACAGGCCCCATGCTCATGGACTTTCCAGTCAACAGAATCATGAACCAAATAAACCTCCATTCTATTAAAATCTCCCAGTCTCAGGTACTTCTGTGTATTGATAACCAAGACCTTAACTATATGCACCTAAAATTACTGAATACTTCAAATATCAAATAGGCAACCATATCTTTTAGGCTTTCTCTAAATGCAAAACCTCGCAATCTCTGTGCTGTCCCCAGTTTAAAATCTACCCCTTATACCTCAAGTACTTTTTCTCTTAATGGCCTAAACTGCATTTAACTTCCTAAACTGTCATCCAGGATTTCAGACTCATTTAATTTCATGGGGCCAGAATAACCTAAAGTGGAGGAAATGTCTGTAGACTAATATGGTCTTCTCACAATAAATTCCAAATTACACATGCCATAGAGCCTTGGGAACATACAGGCAACCCATACCTCCCTATATGCTTTAGCACGTTTGTTTTCAATTATTCAGCTTTTTCTCCTACTTCTGACACATCTACTTATCTCCAACTCTTGTTGTAGGATGGAAGAGAAGAACTCAAGGTGAATAATAATTGAAAACTTGAGAATCCTTTGGGAAAAATCAATAGAAATCTCAAAATCAGCATGGCCTCAGTTCACTTCTCCCCAGCCTGCCATCTCATTAAGGGCCACACCATTCAGCCAGACAGGTCAAAAGCCCACAAGGAAGTTTAGATGCTTAGCTCTTCCGCACACTCACACATTCTTTCATTTTAATTTCAGTCCCTCCTGTATGCTCCTCCTTCAAGATATGTCAAATGGGACATCTCCTTACTACCTCTCGTTCATAACTCTTCTAGTCACTAACACCGTGGCAAACTGGGAATGCACCTCCCTGCGCTGCCACTGCAGGGAATGTAACTGAGCAGGGCCCAACTGCTAAACCTGAAGGTTCACCATGTTGTGATATAGGACCAGAAGCTCCGTGCTCATGGACTTTCCAGCCGAGGGAATCACGAGTCAAATAAACTTCCATCCTGTATAAATCACCCAGTCTCGGGTACTTCTGTGTAGTGATAACCAATCCTCTAACTATATAGGATAAACCTAAAATTACTGAATATTTCAAATATCAAATAAGAAACTGTATCTTTTAGGCTTGCTCTAAATGCAAAACGCTGCAAACTCTGTGTTGCCCCTAGTTTAAAATCTACCCCCTTATACCTCAATTGCTTTTTCTCTTAATGACCTAAAGTGCATTTAACTTTCTAAACTGTCATCCAGGAATTCAGATTCATTTATTTTCAAGAGACCAGAATAACCTAAAGTAGAGAAAAAGTCCACACTATCTATTAAGGTAACTAATATGATCTTCTCACTATAAATTACAAATTAACACATGCCACAGAGCCTTGGGAACATACAGACAACCGACACCTCCCTATCTGCTTTAGCACATTTGTTTTCAATTATTCTGCCCTTTTTCCTACTTCTGACACATCTACTTATCTCCAACTCTTACTATAGGATGTCCTATGGGAAGAACATAGGGGGAGGCCACACCTTGAAGAGTTTTCCTGGCTTAGGACAATGCACTGGAGAGGCCTAGGGCTGCTCTAATGGCTTTGCTGAAATGTCCTTAGACTGCAAGACAGCCTTGGATATTCCCACCATGCCTAACCTTTATTCCCTTCCTCTCTTCTTTGTGTCTTTCCCCTAACTGAATCCTGCCTCTGTGGCTCTTCTATGGTGACATGAGCGAATATGGTCTTCTTTCTTCTGAGCCGAGGAAATGCTGATCTCCCTGATTCTGCCTGCCTTCTCTCTACCTTTCTCCCCATAGGGTATTTCCATCCCACAAACAGCAATCTCTTAAGACCATACATGAGACCATGGTACAGACCCCCATATCCTCAACTCCAAGCCCACCATTATCATACCATCACATTAGTTAAATCCAAACTCACTTCCACATTCCCCCAAGATCTCTGTTCAGATGCCCTCTCTCAGAAGCCTCCTTTCTAAAAGAGTTCCCAGGTATCTTCTCTTCCGTTATATTCTTTGATTGGCTTTTCTTTCCTCGTAGTACTTTTTGCTGCTTGTTTACAGACACTACCACGGACTATTAGCCTAAGTGGATCTGTCTCTCCTATAAGAAAGCAAGGTGAGAGCAGGGGCCTTGTCTACCTTTCCCCTGCTCCATTTCTGTTGCCAAGCACATTGCCAGGCATATAATAGGTACTCGATTAATAATTCCCAAATAAATGAATCAGACCCATAAAGTTATGTCTTTTTATAAACAATTTAAAAATATAGGAACCATATTTGTCCCATATTTCTTTCTCCTCCCCAAGCATTCTTTTTTCTAGTTTCAATTTTTAATTATCACTAGACATCAACTGTGATCAGTAACATCAACTCACATTTTTGTAACAACTTAACAAAGTTAGGCTTTGCCGGAATGGCAGAAGTAGCAGGCACAAACATAAACATCACAATACTGTTGATCTCTATTCTTAAATTTTAAATCGCTAAAATACTGCTTTTCATTGATAAAGAGTAAATGAGCAAAAAAGTCACTATATTTTAAAAACATGATAAACATTTTGGCAATTTTCAACTCGGCCACATGCCTTGGAAAACTGACCTCTTAGTGGGCCTCCCCACACCAGGAGCCCTAAGTGATTTTTTGGAAAGGAGTGAGCTTCACTTCCACTATCGCCTTAATCTTTACGTTGCTAGAGTTCTGAGAAAGACAGAGGAGGCAGCAGCTGTCTGCAGCACCAGAGT